TCTGCAAGATAGCTCTTCAGAAGCGCCACCGACTGTTCAATGAGTTGCAGACTATGAAGACGATTTTCTCTTTTTGCATATCCTAGCCTGCAGATTGAGAACTTATTTTGCCCATTGAATTACTATTGGAGCAGGGACTGGAATCCGTGCTAACTTGCAATCTAAGTCTTAAGCAGAGTCCAAGAAAGACTCTCGCAAGTCTTTATGGCCGAACAAGAAAAGAAGCCGGTAAGTCTTTCTTTTACGCATTTGTTTACCGGGGAATCGTTCTCAATGAGCTTAACTGAGAATCTTTAGAGAAGCCATGTGGTTCTGGTTAAAGTCATACTTAGGGAAAGGCGTAGGATTAGTTAGCGTTAATAGAGGTATAAGGTATTGAGAAAACAGTAACTTTGAGTAAGGTGGCCGTCGAGTGTTGATTTTGTTGACTTTGGCGTTCTGTTTTTTCTTTTAAGTTAGATGACAATTTAGCTACCCCGCGTCGAGGGCTTACTGTCGGCCGAAATCCCTAATAGGTAGGGGTGTTCAAATGGTTATCGTGGTAATAAGCAAACCAATTAAGCCTAAATTTTTATTAACCATGGAATAAAATGTCTTAACCAAACCGTCCAAATTAACACGAAAACCAAATTAACCAAACCAAAGTTTAATTGGTTTGATTAATTGGATAATCGGATTAACCAAATAATTAACATAACATTACATGAAAACAATTATCATATTAATGAATAAAACATAACCATATGTTATTACTATCATAAACTATCATTATATATAAGCAATAATAATAAGACTAACCATCCATGATTATCATCATCATTCGAGTTAATACACCATTCATCATCTCTGCACCTAATATAGTTAGCTTACAACAAACCCTTAACATAAATATTAAATACATACCAACCACTCATAAGGAAGTTAAAGCTCCCCTACAAAACACTTAAACTATAGATAGTTTGAGTTGACTGTCATGGTATTTTACGTAATCCTAAAGTCTAGTAGCTGTCCAAAATGTTTTGGTTTAGTAAATAGGCAACCCATTTAATTTTTTACCCATAATGCTTTGGTTTGTTGTGCGCATGGAAATAAAATAGGGAATCATGAAAGTTTGGTTTGGTTGGTTGCATGGAAGTATAAATAATTTTGTATATTAAGTGTATCATTAATTGGTTAATTGATTTCATTGGTTAGTAGTGTTGAAACCAAACCAAACCACCTAAACCAAATAAGCTAAATTGTTTAACCAAACCAAACCAATTATCCAAATTAACCAAACCAAATTAACCGAATGCTACCAGTTAATATGGTTACCACGGTAACCAATCCGTTTGAACACCCCGACTAATAGGGATCGCAACAAAACCCGAACCCATGGGTACCCACCCGACCCAACCCGGTTAACGCTGGTAAAATCCGTATTGATGGGTTTTGGGCCGGGTTTGGGTTTAAACATGTTCACTATTCACCGGGTTGGGTTTGTGTTTAGGTAAACCCGCCCCATGGATACCCGCCCACACCCATATAATTAATTTTCTCGATATATTTAATATTCTAAACAACTAATCTTATTTATGTTTGTGGAGAAATGTCCAATTTTTTCTTTCTAATTGTGTAGAATGAAGTTAATTTTATCGAGTGGAGAGTGAAGAAACTTAATTGAAAAGAAAAAGCTTTCAATTAATCATATTATTTATGGATAATTTGTGATTTGCTTCAATTTTCTTGAGTTTTCAAGATTGGTGTTGAACAATTTGTATAGTTAATTTGTGATTTGCTTAAATTTTCTAGAATGGTGTTTTATATATGGATAATTTGTATTGAGAGATTGAGATTTGACTTTAATTTTGATAGGAACTTGTTATTGTAAATTTTTTACGACAAAAACCCGTGGGTACCCATGAACCCGCGGATACCCAGTGGGTTGGGTTGGGTTTGAGTTTTCCAAACCCAATGGGTTTTACCCCAGTTTTTTTTCACGGATAAACCCATGGGTTTGAGTTTAGCAAAACCCGACCCAACCCGACCCATTGCCATCCCTAATCCCTAATAGCTTGTTTGGTAGCCAATAAAATCAGCAAATAGAATTCTATTTCCAATCATTGTTTATAAGGTCAATCTAACCATGTTAATTAAATTGGTCTAAGTTGGTATACACGACAGACTTTTGGTTACACATACTGTCAAGCGAGATACCTCAGCAGGGATGGCAACAAAACCCGAACCCACGGGTACCCACCCGACCCAACCCGGCCAACGCAGGTAAAATTCGTGTTGACGGGTTTTGGGCCGGGTTTGGGTTTAAACCCATTCATTATTCACCGAGTTGGATTTGGGTGTAGGTAAACCTGGCCCATGGGTACCCACCCACACCCGTATTAATTTTTTCGATAGATTTAATATTATAAACAACTAATCTTATTTATGTTTGTGGAGACATGTCTAATTTTTTCTTTCTAATTGTGTAAAATGAAGTTGATGTTATCGAGTGGAGAGTGAAGAAACTTAATTGAAAGGAAGAAGCTTTCAATTAATAATGTTATTTATGGATAATTTGTGATTTGCTTCAATTTTCTTGAGTTTTTTAGATTGGTGTTGAACAATTTGTATAGTTAATTTGTGATTTGCTTGAATTTTCTAGAATGGTGTTTTATATATCGATAATTTGTATCGATAGATTGATATTTGACTTTAATTTTGATAGAAACTTGTTATTGTAAATTTTTTACGACCAAAACCCGTGGGTACCCCATGAACCCGCGGATACCCAGCGGGTTGGGTTTGAGTTTTTCAAACCCAGTAGGGTTTATCCCGGGTTTTTTTCACGAATAAACCCATGGGTTTGTGTTTGGCAAATCCCCACCCAACCCGACCCATTGTCATCCCTATACCTCAGTGTATACCTCCTCACCGTCGACCAATCATACATGCGATCGTTTTAGGACGTCAAACATGATGTCATCCAAGGAGGGTTAGTGCATAACATGCCGACACCCTCAAACAAGCCTTGTTGCCTACCACTCAAGACGTCAATACCCATTGAGTAGGGCATCGTGCAAAGGGAGTAAGCATCTGTATCTCTTTGTCAAGATCCTAGAAGCATCAGGATGTCAGGCATGACATCACCTCAAGGGATCAATGTGCATCTATCAACCTCCTCATCGTTGATTCCTCAACCACCTAAGTGTCAGGTATGAAATCATCCTAGAGGGTTAGCCACGATGCAACCTCATCCCAAGTAGTAATGCATGATAGGCCTCATGGGTATCAAACATGGTACCTACCAAACAATCTCATCAATACTCTAGGTGTCACGCATGGACCTCACATGGTAGACCATCTGGTGTCAAGCATGACATCATACAAGGGATTCAACATGGACATCACTAAGACATTGAGCATCAAGGTACTTAAGACCAATGTGGTAACTACTATCATGAGATGATGGCCATAGTTGATCATGTCGACCCCCAAGCATGCCACACCACTTGTTTTAAGTATGGTTGACTAGCTAAGTGTCAAGCATGACAAATTACCATCTACGTAGTGAGGACCCTAAAGCATGATATCGTCGTAGGGGTAAGGGGTCCATCTTGGACACTAGGTATCAAGCATGACACCTGGATAGATGCTCGACATGTTGTTATCTCTCAAGCATAGTTGCACACAATACCTCATCCTATCATGCATGAAGATCCCAAGTCAACTGCTAACTTTGGTGTTTTTTTTTTTTTTTGTTAGGCGCCAATTTAGCTCCCCACGTTGAGTGCTCACTATATATCGAAATCCCTAATCGCTTGTTTAATTGCAAATATAATAAGCAAATATAATGCATTGTATGGTTTATAAGTTGTCACCCTAAAACCTTGGAGAATGAGAGTTTATGGTACGTTTTAGATGAAATAATAATCCTTAATAACTGTTTCATTTTTTATATGAGCCTAATACTTCAATCGTTTCGAACTAGATTATATGACAAAAAATGACTTATCAATTCAAAGTAAAACTCACATCATACAAAACAATATGACTGATGTCCTTGGCCATTCCTTCATAATCTATCTCCCAATCTAGATAGCCTAGCCTAGCCACCCAAAGGGGTGGATAATAATAATCTTCATTTAAAATGCTAATTTTAGAATATTTTTTGTTATGAATTTTTTAGACAATATTGGTTGATTTTCAAGCACCAACCCATTTTATATTGTCAAATTAAATAACAAAAGAAAAAAAAGAGGAAACTAGAGGTAAAAATCTAGATGCTTAATATAGGCTAGCAGAAAAGAAAACAAAGATAAACCTTGGAATTAAGACCTCTCAACCCCTTCAAAAACCACCTTGTCTTAACCCTTTCACCCTAAACGAAATCAAAACAACACAAAACAAGAAAGAAACAATCAAACAAACCCAAAACAAATCCTTTGTCATAGGAAATTAGTAGAGAAGAAGGTTAGGAGTAAAGGGCAAACCCTAACTCCAATTAGGGAAATTCCTACCCAAAACAAGAGCTCAATTTCCGAACTTCTATCAAGGTTTGTCATTTTCTTCCTTATCTTTCATTTTTAAGCTTAAAGTTAAAAACTGGAATTTGGTCATTTTCTTCTTATCTTTCATTTTTAAGCTTAAAGTATAAAACTGGAATTTTGGTCATTTTCTTCTTATCTTTCATTTTAAGCTTAAAGTTAAAAACTGGGTTTTGGTCATTTTCTCTTTAATCTTCCATTTTCAAGCTTAAAGTTAATAACTGAGTTTTGGGGAGTCCTCAACATCTTGACAACATTTAATTTGATTGAAATGTTGTGCATTAGAAATCAATTAATTTACTATCAAATTGAAATTTATAGTTTGACAAACAAGAAAACAATCCATCAAAATGAGCACGTATTCTCGCGAAAATGTCTGATAAATGGTTGTTAATTCTTTATTCTGTAAATAAAACAGCTCTAATGTTTATTTTTTTTTTTTTGTTTCCTCTGCAGTAATTTTCAGGGAGTAAAATAATGTCTCCAACAAAATCCAGGAATAAATCCAAAAAACTCGCCGGGAATTCTGCCAGACCACCGCAAAACAATGTGGCAACCAACCCGAAGAAAAGCGGCTGCTCCGACCCGACTCCCGGATTGGAGATTCTCTCATCGTCGCCGGATTCTTCCTCCTCGCCCGACCATGAAAATTCGGGCAGCCCAATCGGGGCACTGCTGCTGGGCTCCGAACCCGATTCGGTTTCCAACAACGGCAGCTGCTACTCCGGCGAGGAAGACCCAAAAGAAGTAACCAAAACGACCGCGACCCGGCTGCCGGACAACCTCCACGTCACCGTCTCCGGTCTGGACAGCGACCGGCGGGAAAAAATCCGGCTGAAGAACGAGAAGAAGCACGCCAGACAGAGGGAGCGGCGAGCACAAGAGCTCCACGAACGCTGCTGTGGGTTCCTGATGTCGAGGAAGCTCGAATCCCTCTCGCAGCAGATCGTGGCGATGGGATTCTCCAAAGATCGTGCCACAATGGCGCTCATGATGAACGATGGGAAGGTAGAGGAGTCCGTGAATTGGCTTTTCGAAGGCAACGGCGATGATAACGGCGATCAAGGCGATAAGGACGACGGAGAAAGTAGTATCCCCGAAAAGAGGAATTTAGGGTTGAAGATTGAAATCAGCGACGAGCTTGCTGAGATTGCAGCTCTGGAGGTTCGATTCAAATGTTCTAAACAAGAAATTGAAAGGGCAGTTGTGAATTGTGAAGGGGATCTCGCGAAAGCAACAGAGGTTCTGGCTTCCCAGAAACCAGAGCAGCCGACTCCTCCTCCTCCGCCGCCGCTGCCACCACAAGCGAATTTCGAGCTCGGCGTCGATGTCGCCGCGGTTCCCCGGCAGAGGATGATCCATTATTCGGACCCTGTCAACAGAAACTTTCAGAATCAGAGGTGGGGGAATCATGGCTATGGATACAACAACCCATCACTATTTCAATCACCAAAATTTCAGCAACAGCATTCACAGTTCATGAATTCCAATCAATACCCAGTTCAGAACTCAAACACTTATTCTTCAACGGCGAGATGGTATTCCAGTAATGTTCCTTTCCAAAACCATAATCACCATCACCTCCACCACCGTCCATCGTCGTACAAAGAAACCCCATTTCTGTTCAGCGGCCCAAACCCAATGGAAGCTTCGGCAGGAACTAGAATGGGTGGTGGTAGTAGTAGATCATCAGAGTATCAGAGTTTTCCATCTTCCAGTAATTTGCCATCACTAGCAGCTCCATCTTCGCTTGGACTGTTTGATAGCTGGGGATCACCAACTTCACAGGTTGATTGGAACAGTGGAGGTTTGATGCCTAATTTCGATTATACGAGCATAGATTGGAGTCTGGATTCAAGATTGCTGCCTTCCAAGTCAAGGAGAATGTGGCTGGGGCTCTCCTCGTTGTTGATTAGCAATGGTTCTTCGGCCAGCGGGAATGGAGGTATGGAAGCACCATCTTCTGCGCCAGGATTGCGTGATTGGACCTCTCCTTTTGCACAGAAGGATATGTTCAGCTTGTCTAGACAATTTGTTACCTCTCCTTCTCTTTAAGAGCATGAAAGACACAGAGAGAGGGATGGTTGCAACCTGTATATTTAGTTGATGTTGGGTGCATAAATGTTCATCTCCATGTCTATATTTTGTTGAGAAATCAAATCAAAATGCATCCTTTCTTTCTAATTGAATCTATTGAATGGAAATCGAAAAACAGTATTGAATGTTATCATCAAAACCAGATACAATTATATTCTATCATGTTCGATTCAATCTAAAAGTCAATTCAATCGAATAGTGAACAGCATCTTTGCAGTTAATCATACATTGAAAAACAAAAACTCACCAACACAAACACCTTAACTTGGTTCATGATTGAAGACAACCGATTCAGTCAAATGTCGATAATCTATTACTGTACTTTCTTTACAATCGAAGAATCGAAAAAGGGGGTTAATTATCATATAGCCGGTAGTAGAATTTGGTTACTGTTTTTGTTTCATGCTCATCACTACTCAACTAGCTTGACTCCCCAGTTCAAGTCCTTACAGTGTCTCAAGTAAGGAACAAGAGCACCAGCATCAACCTTCTCATCTGTGTCACAGTCACAAGTTGGAGGGAAATGGAAACAAGGCTCCATCGACAGATCCTCTACACAGGCTGGGTTCGGTACATTCTGGTCATTCGCCTTGTGCAGAATCCATGGCTTCAAACCTCCAAGCCCCTGAGCTACATATCCAAACGTCGACCAAGCACTTGTCACCAGAACATCACAAGTACTGAGCAGACTAATCTCAGCCCACGCCTTCATGTTGTGCATATTGTCACCAAACTTTTGATACTCCTCGTGGCTTGGCTGATAAACTCCAATCACGTCACCTTCCACAGTCGGCTTGGTCCAGTACATGTTCTTGATGTGCTCATAGTACTCGGAGTACAAAGAAACTGCAAGAATAGCCTTGGAAGATGTCCCGTTCCCGGATTGAGAAGTACCTACAGGTTTGGCATCATCAAGTTTAGGCAAGATGTTGTTCTCCTTTGAACTGCATTTCAGTATCTGATCCATTACAGTCTGAAATGGTACAGTTTTGGGATTGAACACTCTAATCTGCAAACCAATTCTCTGATCTGCCTTCTCCAGGTACGCCCGGTAGAACCTCTTGATTAGCCCCCACGCCTGATTCGAAGGATGGAACAGGTATCGACCCAAGTGATGAAACACAGTTTGCTTCTCAGGAAACATTTTTATCACCTCTTTCTCGAAGCGTTTCATCACGAAGAAAGCTGGTGCGTAGTATTGATCCGATAACATAATCAGCCATGGAATCTTCTCGATAGAAGCTTGACCTCGGTCGCAGTAGAACACGTTATCTCCATCGTAGCGACCATGATTCACATTCACAAACAGATACGAAGACGCTTGACCCCTCGACGACTCGTTTCTTGCTGCAGAAGAATTACCCTTCTGCATCAAGCTTCCAATGCTGTGTGAGTGCCTGTCCTTCTCATCCCAAAATTCCTTCTGCAGAGGGAACTTGTCCACCGGCAGGACCCACGACGAGTTTGGGAATGGCTCGCAGAACAGATCTTCCATATCGGGTCGTTGATGGAGAAGCAGCACTCTCTCCGTGAGAAGAGCAAACAGAAATGTGGAAGCAATGCTTATCATTCTGTTCCCTAACCCATTTGCAGGTAACCAGATGACATACTTGCAGTACTCTTCAGAAGAAGAATGATCACGGTCTACTCTGTCCAACTTTGTAAGCTTCCTAATTGCCCTTTTGTACGACTTAGTTCCAGGTCCACACTGCCTGTGAAGATCTTCGTACTTCCTCAGCTTGGAAATGAGATATGAAGATGGCTTATGAGGTGAATGCTTGCGGTAGGATTGATGCCTGCTTAAGCAAGAAGGTTCGTCAGCTTCAGGAGACATTAATAGTCCATCCAGCAACGCTTCGTCGTTTCGATTTGACGAATCTTGTTGTGTCCTGAATCCTGGAGATGGGGTTGGAGCAACTGAAGGTGGGGAAGCCAAATGCTCTCTCAGTTCTGTGAATCAGGAAAAAAGGGTGTTTTTTTCAGAAACGAAACTTTTCGGCAATTCCTCTGAGAAGGATGAATGTGGTTACACTGTTACTTACCTCCAATTGTCGCCGGAGCTTGCTGCCGGAATTTACCCTTCAGGATTTGGGTAATGCTGAACCCTCCGGCGCCGGTGAAGGTTGAGCTCCGAGATATTGTCACGAGTAGGATTGATGCAGGGAGAATTATCAAGGACAGAATCAGAACCGTGGCGAATCTCTTGTTGTCCCATCCCAACCTCTGCTTCGCAGACTGGAACAGTTCCATGACTTCCTTTGTCTGAAGTTGGATTGCTTGCAAGCACTCTGATGAATCCACCCACTACCTAAAAAGACCTCTGCAGTTCAGTTACTAACAATCAAACAGAAACCCAACAACCAAACTTATCAAAAATTATATCTTCAGACTTACAATCATTCAACAACAAACGGGTTACTAGTTAGGTTCTAATCAAGTAGATTTGAGTAGTTGATATGACAATTGTTGATCCCGAATCCCCGAAAAAAAGATAACACTGAATTGTTCCGATTTTATCGAATGTACCCGAACAACATCATTTCAGCATAAACGAAACCGAACAAAAGAAACTGGACTGAAATTCTTCAGGTTTCGGACAGGAAACGGTCTGAAAACACACAGGAGAGTCGGAGAAGAGAGGAGTGACATACCAGAGAATGGACAGGCCAAAGGAACTCAATTTCTCTGTGGTCTGAATTCCAGGAGGAAGAAAACTTCTGTGAGGCTCTCTTGTTCTGAAAATTTTCCCGGAAAATCCCATTCCATCCCCATCAGCTGCTACAGTTCCCACACAAAGAAAAAAACCCTTTTTCCCAAACAATTTATGAGCATGCAATTATAGTATTGCTGCATCAGGAAAATTTGACATCTTTTCCCAAAATTCTGATGTTGTTGCTATAAAAGCCAGAAGGGCCTTGGAATTTTACTATTCCCTATATGGTGGGATGAATTTGGAGTCATTTAAGAATCCGGGAAACTGTCAACAGGCAGAGTATATACAGAGTAATTTCGTATTAATTGATTGTGGGGAGACTCTTATCTTTGTATAGCCACGGTAACTTTACAGTTACAATCCCATGAACAGTGGTGAAAAGTTAATTGACTGTAATCTAGGATTAAATAATTAGATGACGATTAAAATCCTTGATTCCTGCCTCCCAGAACGGCGTTTTTTCAACTTCTGGGGGATGTGTTGTTTAATTAGTGCCGTGAACCTGCACTGGCAATTATTCCAGACGCGGGGAATGATTATAGAGAAATGGGTGGTCAATTATTTCAAAAAGTAGTCAATTGAGATTTTTAATTTTTATATATTGGTGGTCAATTGATGTCACTTAGTTGCCGTAGCAAATTTCACGTCACGAAAGACATTCATGATTTATTTAACAGTGTTAATACCTTAGTTTGGCCCGAACTATAGACAAATTTTCTACTTTGATCTGAGGTATTGGAAATTGCTATTCTGACCTGAACTATGTACCATACTTCCTTATTTGGCCTGGAGGCGGGTTTGACCGTCAAATTTGACGGTCAACCGAGTTGACCATTAGTCAACGTTCAGCTCAGTTGCCACGTCAGCGAGCAGGGAAAACATTTCGAACTTTTTCGGATTAAGATATTGTTCTTTTTTACCTAAATTTTGCATGTTTTTTTGCTTTTGTGCACATATTAAGGTGACTTCCCGAAAAGTCACTCATTTTTGCATTGCTCCACGGTGAGCATGTCTAACTTCGGAGTTCTTACAAGAATTTCTCAATTTCACTCCATAATGGGTCTTGTCAGTTAATGTTGGTTTTTTACTTATAAATTGTAACATCTCCAGCCCTTTTCCTCACCAAACAATATATTTTTTTTCAAAAAATTGGCAAGGAAAACCAAAAAAACCTAAACCTATTATTGTTATTATTATTTTTATTATTAGAATATATAAAGTGGGAGTTGGTTTAAAGGGTTTAGTAGGTTACATAAGAGCACATCGTAGAATTATAAGAATATATAAAGGGCGAGTTTAGTTTAACGGATTTAGTAGGCTATATAAGAGTGTATCGTATAATTAGAAATTAGAATATATAAGGAGCGAATTTGGTCAAGGGGTTTAGTAGGCTATATGAGGGTGAATCATAGAGTATATAAAGAGCAAATGTAGCTTAAGAGGTTTAGTAGACTACATAAATGTGCATCATAAATTTTGGGGGTAATTGCATGGTTGGTCACTGAGATTACAAAAAACGTTCATGTTTGGTCACTGAAAATATTTAAATCCAATCTTGGTCACTCAAATTAGTTAAATGGTTCAAGATTGGTCACTCTCCGTCCAACTCCGTTAAATATGTCTGATGTGGCAGTCAACCATCAAAGTTGACCGTTAACTCGATGATGTGGCAATTAAAATATAATAAATAAAATAAATTTTAATCTTCTACCATTTCCAACTCATTTTCACAATAAAGTAAAATAAAAAAATAAAAAAATTATTATAATTAAAAGAGTAGCTCCAGGCTCGCCTCGATCCCGTCGATCACCGCCTTCCCGCCCGTGTGGATGCAGAAGTGCTCCACCCCTGTTTTGAAATTAATCACCGGCGGCTTCCCCCTCTTCGCTCCAGATCCGGCCGCGAGGTCTTCAATTTCCTCATCGAGTACACCGCCACTAACCAGACCAGCTCCCTGACCGGCAGGATTTTGGGGGAGATTTCCCTGAGATTGTCAACGAACACCCGGGTTGCAGCTTTGGGCAGATTCTTCGCCAGGTGGAACCCAAGCCTCCCCTGTTCGTCCTCCTTCTGGATACAACACCCGTAAGAATCGTCCTTCCCGCCGTGGTGTGTGCGGACCAGGGTCTTGAGCTTGAAGATGCAGCGGTGCCTCAAGGACCGCTTGTTGGTGAGCAGAATCGCGCACCCACCCGATGACAATTGGCTAGAATCATGGATCTGTCGTTGCCCGCGTACCAATTGGGGCTGAGCGACTCGGAAGTGACGACGAGGGCGACCTTGTTTTTTTGTGCACGGAAGGTGTTCGACACAATGCCTACGGAGATCAAGCTGGCGCTGCAGCCCATACCGGTGAGATTGAACGTCCTGACGTCGTCCCGCATCTTGTAGTGGTTGACGATGCGGGAGGTGGGGGAAGGGACAGCGGCGAGCATCGAGACTTTGACAACGAGGAGGTCGATTTCGTCCGGCTTGACGCCGGATCGGGCGAGGAGCTTGCCGATGGTGTCGTGGAAGAACTCGTCCATCTCGAGGAGGCCGTCGCGGAGGGTAGGGTTCTCCTCGCGGCCCTCGAAGACCATGCGCGGGACGTAGGTCTCTTCGCCGATGCCGGATGAGATCATGGCCTTGAGGAGGAACTTGTACTCTTTCAATTATAATATTTTTTATTATTTTTTTTATTTTACTTTATTATGAAAATGAGTTGGAAATGATAGTAGATTAAAATTTATTTTATTTATTATTTTTTAGTTGCCACGTCACCGAGTTAACGGTCAACTTTGAGGGTTGACTGCCACATCAGACATATTTAACGGAGAGTGACCAAACTTGAACCATTTAACTAATTTGAGTGACCAAGATTGGATTTAAATATTTTCAGTGACCAAACATGAACGTTTTTTGTAATCTCAGTGACCAACCATGCAATTAACTCTAAAGACATTCTTTCCGAAATCAGAAGATTCGCGAATTCATCGCAGTAATTCGCGCTCCAAGAAATCATAAGTCATAACTGACCCGTTTGTCGCGCCAAAGTGGGAGCGGCGGCTGTAGACCCACGAATTGGGTGACAGGGCTGAAAATTGACCCGACCCGTCCCTGACCCTGTCTGACCCGCCCCGAAAGAGTAAAGACTAAAGATGTATAACTGACCCTTCCCGACCCTGTTTCTTTCATGATCCTGTCTGACCCTTTAGGGTCGAGGCGGGTCACGAAGGGTCGGGTTAGTGGGTCGACCCTAATAAATAGACTACTTTTCTAAAAATTACAATTTAGTACTCGAATTTATTTTTTCTTATATTTTAGTACCTAAAATTTATTTTTCTTACAAATAAGTCCCAAAAATTTGATGGTAAAATTACGTTTTGGTACCCAATTTTTTTCTTTTTACAATTTAGTACTTAAACTTTTAAAATTTTACAAATAGGTCCAACGTGTTTGTATGATGCTAAGGGTCATAGGGTCAAAAAATGACCCGACCCTATCTGACCCTGACCCGACCCTAAGTTGACCCTGTAGGCAAACTGACCTAGCCCAACCCTGAAGGTCGGGTCAGGTCGGGGTAGGTGAGTGGGTTTTATGGGTCAAACTTACACCCGTATTTGACATAATTCACAACTCGAGGGATGAGGACAGACAGGCCACAGGCGAGAGTCGAGGCCGACAATTGCCTTGCTTTTACACATTTTCGGTTTCGACATGGTGTACAAGATGACGTGTCCATGTTTTTACTTTCAAATTTACCATGGCTAGCTAGCATGATATGACGATTAAATAAAGAGGCGTGTTATTTGCCGCACGTGTCATTACTATTTGCCGCCCGTAAATTAAACTAAAAATATATTTTTGCCCTCCAAATTTTTTTAATATTATATTCTTTGATTTGTTTTTTTAAACTACCCACACCACCACCCGACCACAATCACCATAGCCGGAGTCACGGCCACCTGACGGCGGCCTAAGTTGCCGACCACCGGACCACCGTCAGCATAAGTCGCCGGCCATCGGACGACAATCGTACCACATCGTCGGACCAGCGAATGAGGTAACCTCCTGTATTTTGCCCTGTCCGACCGTCGGAGGCGGACCCCGTCCGACCCCAGCGAGCGGACGACGCCCGACGGTCGGATGAGGTCGAATGTGTAGCGGTGGTCCGAAGCTCTGTTTCGGACGGTTTGCGGTGGTCTGAAGCCCGTTTTCGGAGAGATGGCGGTGGCACGAAAAGCTGCGTCGGTCGGCTGGCGGTGGTACGAAAGTCTGCGTCGGACGAGGTTGCTCAGTCCGTTCAAGGGCTTCATACCATTTGTTATCTTTTTTGTTTGTTTGTTTATTTAATTACCTAAACTGATTCTAGTCAACCGACGGACACAAAGACGGGAATTATCTAAAATAATTATCTTGGATGTGGATTTTATTGTTAATTAGGGAAAATAGTTGCCTTAATAAATTCATGGCAGTAAGTCAGTAAGGAATTCGGATTCCAATATGGTGAGAGAAAGACGTGAGAGTTATAGTTATATAATACAAAAAATAAAAATTAATTTGTAGGAAATTAAAGAGAAAAATAATTAACTACAATAGGTAATTAATTATTAAAGACGGCTTCTCTTAATTCCGTTGTAACAATCAAAGAGGACAATAGTTAATAATAAACAATTTCCTTATTATGGGCATTTAAGAGAAAAAATTACGGACGACAACTCGGATTAAGCCATTAAGTATAAAAATTGTAAAAACATTATTTGGGAAGTTAATAAGAGAATTGAATTTAGACATGGGTTATGGCCTATGGGGAGGTGAATCAAAAAATAATTAATAATCCATTATTTAATATTTAATAACTAATTGCCAGAAGTTATAAGATCAACAATTAATATATAATTAATTTAAATATGTATATTTAAGTATAATTATAAATTATCATAAGTATTCTAAAAAGATATTCTTTGGTATTTTTTATATACTTACTAGAAGTACGTATATTTAATTATTAATTATCATAAGTATTCTAAAAAATCATGGATACTTAATTTAAATTATGTAGAATGGTTATAAAATACTTATTAAATTTGTTTAAAAAAATTACATTAATTTCATATTTAATTAGATCATTCCTAAGCTAAGTTTTATCAAACATTATCCAAGGAATCAGGGCTCGGAGAGGGCTCTTTGTGGCTTGTTGAAGGTCGAACAAAAATATCTTTTCGCAATTACTAGAGACATGGACATGAAAAATGGTTGAAACCTTCACTGATCCCTTAAAATGTGGAGAGGATTGTGGTGGAATCAACCGTTTCTCGATTTAATGTCCCGATAAAAAAAAGATGAATAGTGTCAAAATTTCCTTCTTAGTTTTTGGAGGCTCCGTGGGTTGTAACGAGGTGTTTCTTGAGCCTACTACGCGTATTTCGATGATGCGAACAAATGTTGTTAGTGGAGGTAGAGATGATTTTGCTTCTAAAACAATTTCATAGTAGGAATGGATGGATTGAGGTTGCAATAAGGGTTTAGGGTTTGGGAGAGGTAGAAGATGTAGATTGGGAAAGAGATGATTTGCTTCTTTGTAGAAGTTAATGAATATACCTAATTTACTAATTATATCATTATACTATTGATCAAATGCTAATCTCATTATACTATAATCCGGTCACACCATATATTAAAATAATATATCTATAATTTTATCACTGTCATGTGTTTTAATTAAGGAAAAAAATTTCGGTAGTTAATAAAGAAATGGAATTAGACTTGGGTCTTGAGAGGTCAGACGTTACCTTCCTTTTTTCCAAATGAATTCATTGTATACTAGTTATTAGCGATTAGGTTAATTAATAATGTAAACAGTCCACTAATTAATTGCTCAACCAATTCATTACCTTGTCTTGTGCAAGTAGATTAGTGATTAGGGAAATGTAATAGCTATTTTTTTTATGGGGAATGTAATAGCTAATTAGGACATGGGTTAATTAGGGAAAAATAAATAAATTAATACAATGTCTCTTCCCTAATTGGCGCTCGTCAATAAGTATTTATCAAATTAATTGCCCTAGAATCCTATCTCATCTTTATCAAGATAATTCTCATAATTAATTATTTACAAAATAAAAATAAAAAACAGGTACGAAGCCGGGTTTTGGCGGCCGTTGACCCGTACGAAGCCGGGTTTCGGAGGCCGGCGATCCGTCCGAAGAAGTGTTTCAGAGGCCATCAATCAGTACGAAGCCGGGCTTCGGAGGCCGGCCAATCGTAGGCAGGAGGGTTTCGGATGTTGGCTACTCGTACGAAGCCAGATTTTGGAGGCCCGCAACCCGTACGAAGTTAGGTTTCGGAGGCCAGGGACCCGTACGAAGCCGGGTTTCTTAGGCCGGCGACCCGTCCGAACTTGGGTTTCGGACGATGGCGACCCGTCCGACAAGAGAGATCGGACCACGCGCGACGACGGGGAGGCGACGATGGCGCGAAGATGGTGACGACGGGAAGACGAGGAGGTCGACAGCTACGGGAAGGAGGGGCATGGGTCGGCGAGTTTCCAGATCTCGACGATTTTAATGGCGACGTGTTGACTGAAGAAGAAGTGAGAAGGATTAGCAGATGAAGAATCCGAGACTAAGAAGGATTTGCACCAGCTATGAAGGAAGAAGGAAACGATGTCGGATTGAAGAAAGAAAGAAAGAAGAAGGAAAACACGTTGTCGTTTTATTAATATTGTACTAGCCGTTAATTAATAGTAAGACTATTTTGTAATAGCCAATGTCTCTCTGACATGTGGCAAAACACTGTTATTGGTTTTAAACAGAGGTTTATATACAACCTCCTGCAGCCCTTCTTCTCTAAGGGTACTGCATTTCTAAAACCCTCATACAAAATTCACATGGTATCAGAGCGGCGAACGATCTAAGGCCGCGAAAATGTCCGGCGCACAGACACCGCCGACGGGAACGCCAAGATCCGATGCTATAGCAACAGGGTCTGGTGCTCGATTTCAGTTTGGCTCATTTGATGCTCAATAGCAAGATCAACGAACCGAGGTAATCACTTTTGGAAACCCATTTTACCTGAACCCAAACGAAGCGCTCAATCAATCCATTGGATCTGAGCTATTTGATGGAACAAACTACACTATGTGGAGTGGGTCGGTGATTATGGGTCTTAAGATGAAACACAAACTGGGTTTTGTGGATGGAAGCATTCCGATGCCTCCAGCTACAGATGATCTTTATTTGCTATGGGATGCTTGTAATACAACAGTATTGTCATGGATTCTGAACTCTTTACACAAAGATCTGCGAAGATCTGTCATGAATCATGTCAATGCTAAAGTTCTATGGGATGAATTGAAGAGAAGGTTTGGTAAACCAAATGCCATCAAAATCATCAACCTAGAAGATGAAATCCAGGCTTGCAAACATGGGAATTCTACTATAAATCAGTATTATACCCAGATGAAAGGCTATTGGGAGGAGTATATGCAATTTAGCCCAATTGTTCCATGTAACTGTGCACCTGGAAATCCTAATCCTTGTGCAGCAGTGACATCATATACAGAAAGGCAAGAGACATACTACTTAATCCGGTTTCTTAGAGGATTGAATCCAGATTATGAAGTGGTCAAGACTCAGATCTT